AGGAAACAGCTTGATAACCTTTGAACTTCACCTGACTTTGTCTCCTGATTCAACCCTTCTGCTGTTGGGATCTGCCAACACTCCGTGCTCCTCTGAGTCTTTGACTGGAGACCTCTTGTACGCAGTTTCTAGTGCCAGCCCTGAGACAGAGACTTCTGGTCAGGGTTGTGTGCACTAGTGTCTGTTTAGGTTCCATTCAGCCATCAGTTCCGTCCAGTTTCCTCTGCTCTGTTTCAAATCAAACTAAAGTCCCCAAATTATTTTGTTGAGCACGTACTGTAAGCAAAACTCTTTGCTGAGCTCTAAATACATCAGGAGTGTGGCTACTTTAACAGATTGAACTCCTTCAGTGCAGAGCCCTGAATGAGATCCTTGTCCACTCATTCAGTCTCTTAGTTCATTCCACCAGTACTTGCTGGATGCCAGTTGAGAACAGGTCTGATGACCAGGCACCTGGTGTGCAGTGGGCACTTTGGAAAAACTCAGTTAGTTGAGTCCTGGGAGTCCTGGAGTTCTAATGGCTGGGAAAGGAAAGTGTAAACATGCCAAGTCAAAAAACAGGTGTTACCCTGGCTGGTGTGGCTCTGGATTGAGCGTCAGCCTGCTAAATGAAAGGTTGCTGGTTCGATTCCCAGTCAGGGCACGTGCCTGGGCTGCGGGCCAGGTCCCCAGTTGGGGGCATGCAAGAGGCAACCACTCAGTGTTTCTCTCACACATAGATGTTTCTCTCCCTTTCTCCCTCCCTCCCCTTTCTCTAAAAATAAATAAATGAAATCTTTAAAAAAGAAAAATAGGTGTCTTTCTCAAGGGTCTTTTTAGTTAAAGAGGGGTAAAGGCCGAACCTCTAGGTGCCTGCGGTAAACCTGCCTTGCCCCTTGGGTAAGTGATAGCCTGGAAAAGCAGGCACCTTCCACCTTTCAGGCTTTCATGTTCCTGCTGGGAAAGGGGGCAGGGGGTATTTATTCCACATTGATTTCTTGAGCGCCTTCTATAACAAAGCCTGCCTCCTCCACCTCACCAAAAACTGCACAAACTGAATGGGATGAAGCACTCTGAGAAATCTGTACTGCTGCCCGCTGCTGACGAGGGGACCTGAGGAGCTTGCCACCTCCCTGCACGTCCCACCCGGAGGTCCCCCTAAGACGACCTGGTTTCCTTGACCCCTCGCTGCAGGCACATCTCCTTTCTGCCTGTTCCTGGCCAGCGGGGCTTCACTTGAGTTCGAATCAGTGGCTTCCTGGCTTCCCCACGTGCAGCCTGATTCTGGGCCAGGGTTTGTTTGAGGCCCTGTTAGGATATTGTTTGAAGTGGCACCTTGGCTAAGAAAGGTCAGTCTGAGAGACCAGAACAAAGAGATCTTTCAAGCTGACCTCTCACGAGGCTCAGAAAAGCCCCAGCTCCACCTGGCACGGGCAGCGTTGGACTTCGGGGCAGGATTGCTCAGGCTGATGGGAGAAACCCCGTCTGGTTTCCCATCTCCCCAAGAGGGGTGACCAGCTGAGGGCTGGTGTGCTGAGACGCTGCGATCCCCCGTCTCTTCCTGTGCTGCCCTGGCCACTAGGACCTCTGTGTTAGTTTTTCTCTGGGTGCATGTAATAAAATTTGGGCTTTACCCAAAAGGCACCTGAGGGTGAGTATTTCCTAGTAGCTAAAGAATTCCTGAGAGCTTATTTTGATAACCAAAATCCCTTATAGATTTGAAAATGGTTAAAATACACAATTTTTAGGACATAGGATTTTGTTCAAATGGCAGCTCTCATTCCTTAGTTGTGTGGGCTTTGGGGGAAGCAGGGACTCTGGGTGTCTGCCTTTCCCTCAAGCCCCCACCCCGGGCACTGCCAGCGCCGCTGGTCTGGCGGCACCGGTGAGTGGCAATGACGCGGAGACTAAAGGCAGAGACTGGGCCACCCTTACACTGGAGTGAGAAGGGGCCACCGTCCCTCTTGGCTCTGGGCTCCCGGGAGCAGCCTGGGCCAGGCTGCCAGGGAGGAGGCTGGCAGGGAGACCGCAGAGTGGGAAGTCACCCCCAGGTCCCTGGAGCTGCCAGCCTCCTCGGCTGGAGGGCACCGGGGCAGCCCCCGCCTCCAGCCCCACCCCAGCCCACAGCCATTTGGCCCAGTGGCCATGGCGGGCTCTCCAGCAGCCTTGGGCTCCTGGAGCCCGCTGCTTCTGCTCCTCTGGGAGCCCCTGCCCTCTGTGTCCTTTGTCGCTCTCCCGGTGGTGGCCTGCCGTCCAGCTCTGCGTTCCTTCCTAAAGCAGAGGTCCCAGTGGCACCGAATGGCCTTTGCTGCAGATTCTTCCTGTTAGACTCGTGGGGACTCCTGGTCTGTCCCTGGGTGCGGTTTGTTGACCAGGGAATCCTGTTCTACATCCCCAGTGTGGGGCGGGGGACGAGGGAACAGGAAAGATGGACACAAAGCTGAAGGACCTCCTACTTCCCCCTCTTCCCCCTACTCATTAGCTCCTGAACGTCCACGCAAAATAATGTGCCAGATTATGTTATAAGTAATATGATCCTTAGGACCCAAATTAGAAGGGGAGAGGAAAATAACTAACATTTAGTGACCCCGTACCACATGCCTTGCTGTGCTTGGCGCTTCTCGTATGTGCATCTTCCCGATAGCTCTGTGAGCAAACGGGGAATCTTCTTCCTACAAATGGGGAGGCCAGGACTCAGAGGGGCTGCTTTCCTTTCCAAGACTACAGATTCAGGGTCTGGCTGTGGCACTGGGGTGTCCATGTCTGGTTGTCCCTTCTAGAACCTGGCTTCTTAGTATAGGAGAACTGGAAGACACCGGGGACCATCTAAACCAGTGGTTCTCAAACTCGAGTGTCCATCGGAACGCTCTGGAGACTTGATAAAACCCAAGCTGCTGGGCCCCACCCTAGAGATCCTGAATCAGCAGGTCTGGAGTTGGGGCAGAGGGTGGGGTCTCAGAATTTGCTTTTCTAGTAAGTTTCCAGGATGCTGGTGCTGCTGGTTCAGGGACTTTGAGAACTTAGGGTCTAAACGAATGTTTCCCGAAGTATAGGACGAAAAGCTCTAGCAATGCACAAGGTGGTTTTAAGTGATACACAAACTTTTTGAAAGTGCTTCTGTATTTAATGTAAATAATGTCTTTATTTTAGCAAAAATAAATAAATAACTAGCCCACCATATCCATGATTTCAGGTATTTTTGAGTAAGGTAAGATAGCTACTGAAGTAAAAAGAAGATAAAAGACAAGCATTCCATGAGTAATAACTCTGGTGGTATGCAGCTGGTAGCAAAAATTGTAAATGCGGGGCGCAGGTGACACACGTCTGGGACACGCCGGCCCAAACTGCAGGCCCAACTTTATAGCGGAGGAGACCGTGCATGGCCCACAGAGGCCATCAGCAGCAGCGTCAGACTTGAACCGCCTCCAAGGACGCTACGGTGCCCCGTCCTACTCGCCCCTCCATGTCTTCAGAAGCTCAGGGTAGGCTGGAGAGGGTCACGCGACTCGGAGTCCCTCTCACAGGCCTTCATCTCTGCTCTCAGCCTTCCGAACGAGGGTCTGTGTTTTATAATGCTGGCGGTTGGCATATTTGGAACTTGCAGGGACTTGATCTACAAACCTGTCCTTTCATGGCTCCAGCCCCCGAAGCCCCCAGGTCTTTGTTTCACGTGTGAAAGTTGCAGGAGGGGCTCACATGACTTCCCTGGCTGCCACCTTTGGCTTTTCACCCTCTGTGACCTTTCTCCATTTGCTGGCCTATCTGCCCAGCTTTCCCTTGTGTACTGTGATACAGGGAAGCCCTAGAACAAATGAGAAGAGTGGTCCTCGGGCACTGGCCACGCCCATGCTGCGCGCCAGGGGCTGCGCTGGCGCTGAGCTTCAGGAGCGAGACAGGAGTCTTTGGGGCACAAGGGGCCAGCCTGTAATCAGGAGACGGCTGAAAAATGTGCTTGCTTCAGAAGAGGGATTAACGGTGCAGGAGTGATACAGCATGGCGAGGGACCTGGGAAGGCGGCGAGGAGGACGGGATATTGGGAAGGTTTTTAAAGGATAAATACGGGAAAGGCTGTTTAAGGCAGTGTGAGAAGTGAGCGCCAAGACTTCTCATAGGAAACCACGGCCGGTCATTCAGGAAGGACTTGGGTGTGGGAGATGAGATAGATGGGAGAGAGACGGGGGGGCAGACCCAGCAGCTGGAGGCCCCACCTGCGCTCAGTAAGCACTGAGGGCGCCAACCGAGGGGCCGGCCTGGGGAGGGACAAGATGACGTCTGCATGTCGGGTAAGCCCTTCGAGGGACGGCGGAAGCAGTGTTCCAAACTGCAGGCCACAGCCCATCAGTGGGTTGCAAGAGCTGTTTAGTGGGCCTCTTGTTTTACAAGGGAGAGTAGGGGGAGACATAAAATAGAACTCTCAGAGGGGCTTGCATGTAGTAGGGGTAGGTAATGGCAAGAAACTTGCTTCAGTTGTATGTGAGGAAAATGTGTATATACCCCAGGTTGCCATGTCGAATATATATTTTTTTTACTGTGGGTCACACTTTTAAAAGTGTAAAAATTATTTTAAGGCACAGGGGGCTGACTGGAAGGGGTGAACCTGGTCAGCGTGGTTATCCGGGCCCCAGGTGCCACAGGCCAGTCTAGGGCCCAAGTGGGAGGGACTGAGAAGGGAGGGTGAGTTCCAGTGTTGGCCGGTGGCAGAGGGTGAAGATGGAGGATTGGAGACCGGCTCAGGTCAGAAACTCTGCGAGCAGCCCAAGGCTCTAGGGCCAAAATGACATCTTGTTTGAAACCCTTGGTCTTGGTCCCCTTTGGAGGAACTGGAGAGAAGGAGTCCCCTCTTCTTTGATGGGTGATGTCCTGGCCTTCTAGGGTCCTGGTGTTACGACACTGACCTTCCATTCTAGCTATTGATTGTTTCCAAACAAAACTCAGGCAGGCCCCAGCGCCTGCAGGTTTGATGAGGACGCCCTTGGGGAGCTAGGCTGGTGATGGCGCTGCCTCTGCTGTCTTCCCACTAGGAACATCGTGAAAGGCATGCGAGAGCTCCGGGAGGTCCTGCGGACGGTGGAGACCAAAGCAACTCAGAACTTCAAAGTGGTAACGTGGAGGAGGCCCCAGGGCTGGGGGCTGGGGGCCGGCTGTAGCTGGTTTATTCCGGGGTCCAGCGGGAGACAGCAGAAGTCCTCGCGGGCAGCCCCTGAATCGGGGATGGCAATGTGTCGTGTCCATTCTTTTACTGTCCCCACGTGTGCTCATGGCACACACGGTTCATCAGTCTCAGCTCTTTCCCACTAAGCCTGGGAAGCACCCTCAGCAACTTCCTCATCGCAGCGCTGCAGAGGGCCCCTCGCCTTGGATCAGAGCGGAAACCTACTGCCACCACACCCTAGCGAGGTGGGGTGCTCATTCTTAGGGATGTTTGATCTTAGTAAATAACCTTGACTCCGCTTTGCTGCCCAATGCAGGCTCGCCTTCTTAGGCTTTCACTCACCCCAAATCAGAGCCAGACGTTCCTTTCACTCTAGAATTTTTGGTCAAATATCAGAAAGGTATTTGGTAGGGAGAGCTGCCTGTGCCCGCGGCTTTATGCTCTGCAAAGGCCTGCGAATACTCCCGAGTTGTGCCAGGCTTCACAGGACCAGGAGAAGGGGGAAAGGCACCTCTTACCTAGGAGAGGGAGGAGGATAAACGATTAAGTAGGAGCCGTCAGAGGCCAACGGAAAGGATGGGTAACCCCAGTGCTGGAGGGGGCCCCTTGGGAGTGGAGTGGTGGGCCCCGTGGAGGGGCAGCACTTTGCAAGGCAGGCGGATTTGGTTGGCAGGCGGGCGGGGGCATTCTGGCCACAGCAGGGGAGAGCCTTCCTGTGCCTGGGTCTGATCCTCCCTCTCTGCCAGATGGCCGCCAAGCACCTGGCAGGGGTCCTGCTGCACTCGCTGAGCGAGGATTGCTACTGGAGCCCCCTGTCCCACCCTCTGCCCGAGTTCATGAGCAAAGAGGAGAATTCCTTCATCATGCAAACCCTGCGGAAACCTCACTTCTACGAAGGAGACAAGTAAGCACTGCAGGCCCTGCCGGACCCCGCCAGTCGCACACCACACCCGGGGTCCCGCCCCCGCTGGGGCGCCTCTCTACCCCGTGCTTTCCTCCAGCCGCCACCCAGCTCTCTGCCAGGCAGGCTGCTCAGCATCAGCAGGGGCCAAGTAGACTAGACAAGGCAGGTCCTGGGTGGGGGCTGGCAGGACACTCCTATAGGGCATCCCAAATTGTTTGGGGAACACCTGCCTTCCTACTTGTCTTACTTAATATCCCGTCTCTCTCGTGTGTGCCAGCGACTGAAGGCAGGGCCTGTGACCGCCCAGTAGAGCTGCTTGCCCTCCCCCATTCGTGCAGTGCTGGGCACTGGAGGGGCCATTTCTTCCCCGGGAGCATTCACATTGTTTCCAGCCTGGCCGCCCACTACAGCCTTTCCGATCTGTAACTCCGGGGCACGGTACAGAGCTGCAGGCGGTATCTGGTGCCTGTGAATTATGCAGGAGAGGGTCACCTTACCGGGGCTGCTGCCGACTCTCGGGCAGAAGGGCCAGTGTGGCAGGCGTGGCGGGCCAGTGGTGCTGCACGAAGGCCGCGCTGGAGCCACGCCGTCTTTTGTGTCTTTCAGCCTCTACTGCCCAAAGGACAACATTGAGGAAGCCCTGCTGCTGCTCCTCATCAGCGAGTCCATGGTAAGCTCCAGGGCCTTGCGCTGCCCCGCGGGGTAGGGCTGTGGGGCTCAGCACAGGCCACCAGGTCCCAGCTGAGTTCCCCCTCCCAGCGACATCCCCGAAGCATGATCCTTAGGTCTGCTCTCCCCCCACACACTCAGGGGTGAGGCGCACAAGGTTTGGGTCCAATGCGCAATGCTGCATTTGGGAGCCTGGGTCCTGCCTCCCAATGAGGAGGGACTGAGCTAACGAGTCCCCACCCACCTCTTCTGGGATTACAAGAGATGGCTATTAGCGGGTCAGCAGTATGCATGGAGCCCGTGCCGGGCCTGGGACCACAGACAGGAGTGGAAGGAGCATGCGTTCCCGATGCGCATGGCCTGGGTTCGGGTTCGAGCTCTGCCACCCATTAGCCGAGGGCCCTCCACAAACCACCTGATCCCTCCGAGCCTCAGTGTCCTCACCTATGCGATGATAGTCACTCCCAGAGTAAACATGCTTGTAAAAGGAATTCACTTGTTGGCAGAACTGTTTATTGAGCTTCACTTACCTTGTGGCAGGCCATGTGCTAGATGCCAGAGTTGCAGCAGCAGCAAACACAACAGAGAAAAATCCCTGCCCTCCTGCAACTCACATCCTAGTGAGGGGGTAGGGGATAAATTCATTAACTACTAAAATATCCCCCGGTGCCAGTGTCTGTGTGCTATGGAAAAACGAGGCAAAGGGGAAATAAGATGTGCTGGACAAAGCATGTGTAAAGTGCTTTTTAGATTTTTTTTTTTTTACTGAGATCCATTTTCCCTGGCCTGAGCTGGGAAACACGCACACACACACACAAGAACATGAGCACACGCAGGCCTGGGCTTGGGAGGCTCAGCAGAGGAGAGAGGTGCGGTTGGGCGGTCGAGGAAGTGGGGGGATGGCAGATGTCTGCACTGGTCCGGGGGTGGGCGAGGGGGAGTGGACAGCAGCCACAGAGGCCAGGGGTGGAAGAGCCATCCCCACAGTGTGGCATGGGGGAGGGGTCCTCTGACTGAGGGGCCCCTCAGACGTTGTGAGCTGGGGACCCCCAGGTTGAGAGGTAGATTTTTTAAAATGATGCATCTCATAGCGGTGTGTGGAAGTGAAGTTTAAAAAACTAAGACCTCGTGAGCTGGATCCTTGAGCAGCCAGATACAAACGTTCCTTTGGATACCTGGGACCGTGCGGTGCCAGGGCTGGTTTAGAGAACTTTGGTCAGTGGACCTTTGGCCCAACAGATCCTCCGGCAAATAGATAGGACGAGGGACATTAGACTAGGGGACAAGAGAGTGCATCCTTCCTCAGCCAGGTCCGTTCAGATTTGAGGGTTCCAGTGAAGGGGCGTGGGTATTTGGATCTGAGTGCCAACTGGCCAGGGCGTGGTCCTGAAAGGTTTGCAGGGTGTGGGCTTGTGAGGGGGAAGTGGTTGCTGCAGGGAGGGGACACCTAGCTGGTCAGCCTGACGTGACTGACGATGGCGGTACCAAGGGCCAGATCTGCTTTTCACTGGAGAACAGTACACTTTCCACGGAAGAGGGCCCCGCACGCTTACTGCAGACTGACCCCAGTTTCTAATTATGGAACCTCAGACATAGGCCAGGACCCCCTCTGGGCCCCCCACACACACCTCGATTAGCCATCTCGCCACCTACACCCTCAGGTGAGGTTGGACTGAAGTCACCTGTCTCGGGAAACATGGCTCATTATCATCGCCTTCCTGTGCTGAGGGTCACAGTGCGGTCCACAGGTGGGAGGTCAAAGATGAAAGGAGGAACATTTTTTAGGTCCTTTCTGTGCCAGGTTCCAAACTGATAGTATCTCATAGAGGTAGGCCTTATCTTGGCCATATGAAAACTAAGTTTCTCATTGTTCTGTGTAATAGTTTTGGTCCTGTCTTACAGATGAGATAAGTAAGGTCCAGAACAGGCACGTGTCTTAGTCAAGGTCACATTGTTATAATCCTTGCAACCATGATTTGAATCACATCTCTTTCCCTAAATAGCTCCCAAAGCACAGGCTGGGATCAAAGCTGGGCTCTGTCTTCCCAAGAATTTTCTGTGGCCTCTGTTTGATCTGGGTGCCCAGGACCAGAATTCAGGTGCCTTTCCATTGTGGCTATTCCTCCCCAAGCCCTCAAGCTGCCCTAAAGCAAGGTGAAGAATGCCTTTTGCTAAAAGATGGCCTACACTTGGAGTCAAGGGGAAGTGTCCTGAATGCGTGGTTTCCCTCCACACAGCTTCCTCCCTTTTTCGAGAGGCTGTGTGGCTGGCTGGCCTGCTCTGGGGACCCAGAGGGTCCAGGCCTGCAGGCCAGGTGGTGTCCTGGGAATTCCCTGCAGCGGGCGAAGCAGAGGAGGTGCTCGGACACTGGGTGCACCGCCGCTGGGAGGAGGCACCTCTCCCAGGGCTGGCGGGCTGGCTTCCTTTTACTCACACCCAACCTGTCACACATTTAGAAACTTTAGAAGTTTGGGGGAGAGCTTTGGCAGCGGACTTAGTTTTGGTGTCTCATCTACAGAGGTCTTTCCACCTCTGGCTGGCTGTGGTGTCCGTGGCTCAGCACAGTTTTTGAGTGACCAGACCGCTTCTGGCTTCTCTCTTGTACTTGTTTCCCACCCTACTCCTTTGCAGCCACGTTCTCAGGCAGGAGTGGGCGTCACTGTGTGAGCCTCCCAGGCTCCTGCTCTGACCCCTCCTTTGAACCAAGGTTCAGCCTGGATTACATGTACCTGCACGGTTTTCCTCATCTCCCTTAGTGCCAGCTGGGATTGCGTGCAGATGATAGGGAGGAACCTCTAGAATAGCAGCTGGCTGCTGTGGCTGCTACTTGGGTTCTCTTCGCCTGCAGAATTCATCAGGCTGCAGTGAATGTCCTTTCAGCACCGCCAGCCCAGGAGGTGTTGTTCTAGCTCTCCACCTCCAGGATCACCTGGGCAGCTGCTCCAGGAAAGGGTGTTTGCACGTTTCCTGAGCATGGCAGCCCCCGTTTTGTGGTTTGGAGCTCAGAGGAGAGGCCTGCATGGGATCTGCCGGGTGGAGTGGGGGGGCGGGGGGCGTGGGCAGGGTTGGTACCTTGGATATGGTTTTTGTTATGGGCTGACTGAGTGTGATCAGAATGAATGGGCAAGTTCTTGTCTTCCAGGAGGTAAATAGACATCTTACAAATGCTTCCACGGAAACACAAGGGATATGAGCTGTAACTGGTTGAAGATTTGTGGTTTGGATTCAGTTTTGAGTCTTTGGGACCAAAAGAGCCCTTTAAAATCCACTCACCCACACAGCCATCTCTTATCCACCCAGTCTGGCTTGAGTAGCATGTGGGGCCGTGCTTAGCACTGGAGATACAGGGATGAACAGCTCTCAGACCCTGTCCCACCTGTGCTCCCACCTGGTGGAGTGTGTGTCCAGAAATGGGGAGGAAATCCTGGTCCCCAAATCAGAAGGAATTAACTCCAGTCTTCTGAATCCCAAATGCATAGTCTAGGTTTTGAAAGAACCATGTATCAAAACCAGCTTGATTTTTCTCAAACAGTTGGGAAACCAGGAGGAATGGCAATCTTGGCCGTTTCTAAAATACTGATCTAGGATATAAAAATATCTGCGACAGCAAAATGAATCCTTGGGTCCCTGTTCATTCAGCTGCTGCAAAGGTTGCTGCAGGTGTCAGGTTCTTGGGACCCAAAAGGGTAGAAAAGGCCTAGTGGTGAGTGATGTTGGGGGGGTGACCTTTACAAATGAATTTTGTTGCCATACTCAGCATCAGGCATCGGCAATTTGAATCTTGAATTTGCCATTCGCAACCTACGTAACCTGAGTAAGCTTCTTATTTTCCTGATCCTCAGTTTTCTCGTCTGTAAAACGGGGCTAAGAAGGCCTCTCTTGCAGAGATTTGAGTAGATTGATCTGAAAATGAACATGAGGGTGCCTGGTACCTTGTGGGTGTCCAACACGCCTCAGTCTTATACTTGGTTCGATTTAGTCATTTTAGAAAACATTTAGGTTCCGATCTGGTTGGGAGAAAACTTGGTTTGAGGAAACCATTTGGTTGGGAAAAAATAAATAAATAAAGTGCTTCCTGGGCTTGATTCCACGTGGGACTCAGCAGAAGAGCACAGATTGTTCCAGCTCTTGGCACCTGGCTCGCTGTCACAGGAGGCCCGGCTCTGCGACGGCAAAGGGTCTGATCACACTGCCGGCTCCAAACACTCAGTTCAGTGCGGGCAGGGCCTCTCGCCCTTGCTGGCAGGGAGGGCTGTGATTTCTGCTGCAGGGGCCTGATGCAGCAGGAGGGCGGGGGCCTGGCCCGGGTCCCTCAGTAGAGGGCATGTTGTTTCTTGGCTCTGGACGGGCAGCTTGAAAGCCAGTGGTAATTATGTCTTCCGGGGGGGACAGCAGCCTAAGTGGAACATGATGGCGTCCTCCAAGGAGGGGCAGGTGCCACGCACAGATGCTTCCGGGAGACTCCTTCCTGGCGCACCCAGTGGAGGGTGACAGCAGAAGGCCCTGAGGCTGGGTCCTTGGCCGGTGGAGAGGCTGTGACAGAGAACAGGGCTGAGTGGGACCCTGGCCACATTGCCCATGGCGCTTGTGCTCTACAGAGAAGCAGAGGTTGGGAAAGCCTTGCCTTGGATTTCGCGTTGGCTCTTCCATAAGCAGAGATATGCCGGGCCCTCTAATGACCGGGGCGAGCTTACTGGACACTTTCTCAGAGGCACCTGGAGGCAGGGAGAGAGCCAGGGAGTGAAGCCAAAATAGGTTTAGGTCTGAGTCCCAACCATCTATCTGTATGCCTTGGGGTGCCTGCCTGGCCTTCCTGGGCCTCGGCCTTCTTGTCTGTAAAATAGGACAGTAGTACGTGAGAAAGTCATTGTGAGAATTAAAAGATGCCATTTACAAAGTGTCCACAGGTTAGTTCCCTTTCCTTCTCTTGTCCTGTTTGTGTCCTGACCTAGGGAGGAAAGACAGGGCTGGACAGAAGTGAAGGTTATTACTGTCCGGCCAGTGGAGGGTGAGGCGACGACTGGCAGAGACGGAGCACAGGATAGCGGAAGCCAACCCTGAACTGGCCCTCAGGGGCTTAGCCTTAACTCCCAGGACCTTCTGGGGCTCGGGTTCCCCACCTGGAAAGGGTCCGCAGTGATCTCATCCCGCCTCTCCATGGGGTCACTGCAAGGCCAGATGAGGTGACGGACACACAGAAGGAACGGCTGTTTGAATAGGAGTTGCCTGCCTTAAGTTTCCCAGGGGCTGGCGCACATGAGGAAATGCACGTTCCCTCGTGGACCTTGTTCAAAGGCCCGTGTTTGCTTCCTGGGTATTTGTCCAGAGACCAGGTGTGGGTCACCACAGCCACAATGAGCTGTTGGCTGCTGGGACATAGAGAGGAGTGTGTTTCTTTGGCTTTGTCTCCTTTAGTCTCAGGGAGGCCACCCCTGGAAGGGTAGCCAAAGCACACCAGACTAGGAGCAGGGACAGTCCCGTGAAACTTGCCTGGGATTAAATGCACGGGTCAAACAGGAGCCCGGCATCCCCAGAGGCTGGGGGCCTGGGGGTAGGCGTGGCAGTCATGCAGGGAGAAACCAGGGGAGAATATTCCACCATTATTCCAAGACTCGTAGGGACCATGGTGGTGAGAAGGAAATTTAGTGTCCGTATGTTGCTTGAAGGGTCGCAGGTGCATTCACATTCATCACCGTGTTTGATCTGGAGAATTTTCTAGTGAGGCTGTTTAAAAGGCGGAAGGAAAAGAGTGTGACTGGAACTAGCTCAAGGCAGGTTGCAGATGGGGCTGGGAACCCTGTGGGACTTGAAGGGTGGTGAGCCTAGGGGAGGAAGAAGCAGGACAGCTGGGGCGCCCGGGGCGGGGGCTTGAAGTCCTCAAGAGTGTCTGGGGCCTTGTCCTCGGAGGCTTGCGCTGGCCCCTGAGCTGCGCCTGAATCTCATCCTGTTGCTCCCCCAACAGCTCAGGCTTCCTTCTTTCTGCCCCATTTCCCCCACCCCACCCTGTTGCCATGGTTACGTACACAGGCCAAGCCCAGCAAGCACTGGAGCATTTCACCGCAGCCCTACCCCAGAGCCATAGCAACCGCAGGGCAAACTTCTGCTTTCCGCTTTCCTTTGGGGAACCCTGCTTCCTCCTTGGCGCACGCTTCACATCCTGAGGACCCCTGGGAAGGTGCCCTCTGCTGGTCGAGGAGACGCTGCTGCTGCAAGCCCCTCTTCTGTTCCTGTTCTTGTGACCCAATTCCTTCCCAGTATGCTAGAAATCCCCCCTCCCTCCTACGAGGCCCACATTAGGAGACACTGTGTTCTTAAAGGTCAGGGTCTGGGACGGACAGGAGGAAGTTCCCACACTCGGCCAGAAATGTTTCTCTCTCAAATGTCACTCCTTCTACACATGTGAACCGAAGAAAGTGCTTTGTGTGAGCCTGTACTGGGCCTGGGAGTCTAGAGAAAGGTCCCTGCCTCAAGAACTGGTGAACCAGTTGGGTGTGTGAGGGTTGCAGTGGGTGCCCAGTGTTAGAGGAGGACAAGGGGGTCCAGCCTCGCCTGGCCAGATGAGTCAGGGGCTGTCGCTGAGGGGGCCGATACCTGCGTTGGGTGGTGAGGAGGCAGCAGGCCTGCAAGGTGACAGAGGGAACAGTGATAGGCTGTGGGGTGGGTGGGCAGCCACAGGGTGAGGATAGAGAACCGCAGGGGGAGTTACACGTAGGGGCAGGAAGGACTTTGACTCCATCCTGGGGCGGTCTGGAGGGCGTCGGGAGCTGGGTTCTGGCCGGGACTCCTCTTCAGAGACAGGCCAACCAGAGCTGAGACCTCCGTTGACAGCTTGCTGCTCACCTGCCCTGAATGAGACGGGTCCGCGTGGGCGGGTCCCCAGATCCTAGATGTGCCCAGCCGGGCTTCTCTCTCTGCCCCACAAAAAAGCCAGCCCGCAGGCTGCCTGCCCTGCTCCCTCTCCATCAGGACCTCTCTGCCGGCAGAATCCTAGCTCAGATTCCACTCGGCGCACGCCTGTGTGCTGCTCCTGAGTGTAGGGGCTCTGTCTCCCATCCTCTCGTTCCCTACACCCTGCACCCCCAGCGCTGCCTCGTGGGAGCTGCCTCCCCGGGCCCCGTCCCGGGCGGCCTGAGCTGGGGAGTTGCTGGAGGTGAAGGCTGGAGGTGGGGGAGTGGGGAGCCGCATGGCCAGGCCCAGAGCAAGTTTTGGAGTTTTGTGTTCCTGCTCAGCTCAGTGAAATAGCTCCTGCCAAGCATCTCCTTAAAATTCCTTCACCCTTCCTGTTGGTGCCTGTGTGGGTGGATTTCACCAGGAAGGAGGGGTTCTCTGGTACTTTCCCTCTCTGCTCCTCTCCCTTCACCCTTCTGAGTTTCTTACCTGCTCTTGTTGACCGGGCTGGCACCAGTGCTCAGCCTTTCTGGGGGTCTCCTGGCCTCCCATGCCCTTTCTTAGAGCTGGTCCATGTGCGTGGTGGCAATAGGCAGCCCTCCGCCGATTGTGGACCCCTGGCTACTGGCCTGCCTTCTGCCTGAAATGCCCCCATGGGTGAGTCACTTTCTTGGGTCTCACAGGCATTTTGGCTTCCAGAAGCCTTTATGGGAATGCAGTTCAGGTTTGCACGGCAGGACGTCCAGACCCCGCAGTCCAAAGGCTACTAGGCTCTTGCCTCTGCAGCCACGTGGAGGAGGGGGTGGTAGTCCTGGCCACGGGGAAGATGTGAGGACCGTCCGTGACGGGAAGGGTTGTCTGGAGCTGACCAGCGGGATCTGGCTTGTAAGGGTGCAGCCAGAAAGGCCGAGTCTTCGGTTTGAGGTCCTGTGTGGAGGAGGTTCTGGCCTTCTACAGAGGGAGGGGGCGCTGGGAAGACACCCTTTGGGCAAAGGGCAGGTGGAGGGGGGATGCTGGGAGCAGCCAGTGGGGGCGTCTGGCCAGAACTCAGCTCTGCGTCGGCTCTCGGTGTGTGAGTCGGGCGGCAGGGCCCCTGCCCCGTTGCTGCTCAGCTCAGAGACTCCCGTAACTTCTGCTCAGCCATTCTGGCCTGGGTGCTGCCTCCAGGGTATGGGCATAAGGGGACCGGGGCCACGTGCCACAGGTCACAGGACGAGAGGGTCTGGGATCCCTGATGGTGAGATTTCAGGCTTGGTGAGACAGAGCTCCCCCTTCAGACTGTGGTTCTGGCTCCCTGAGCAGCCACGGGCAGCTCTGAGCTACTGAATTCCTTCCTGAGTTCTGGCCGCCTACATAGAGCCCTCAAGTTTGGAGGAGTTTACTTGGGGAGGAACAGAGAGAAGAGAGCTCCATGGTTGGAGGGAGTCAAGGATAGACCTGTGAATGATGGGAAGGAAGTATGGCAGGTCCTTTTCAGAGGGACTTGGCGGACCCGCAGAGTAAGAGAAGGGGGCCCCGAGGGCCCACAGCCTGGGCTCACCTCCGTGATCAAGCAGCCACCCACCTGTCCTAGACAATTCACATGTTCTCTGAAGCTGTGTCTATGAGTGAGCCATTACTGTACCGACACAGGGAGCTCTTCCACCAAACAACTGGTCTGGCTCCTCAGAAATGCCCGTGTCCTGAAGGCAGGTGAATTCTGAAGGGCTCTTCCAGGTGAGAGGACACTAAAGAGACATGGCACCCGAGTGCAAGGCATGACCCTGGATTGGATCCCAAATGAGAAACAGGAAGCAACTGGAAAGGCCATCAATGGGATGAGTGACAATCTGAATATGAACGGGTATCAGGTGATAGTAATATCAGTGTCACATTCCCTGAAATCGGTGTTTCTGTTGTGGTTATAAAAAGAATGTCCTCTTGTGTTTAAGGGTGAAGGGTCCTGTTCCTGTAAATAATTATTTATTATTATTATATCAGAGAGAAAAATAAAGCAAATGTGGCAAATGTTACCCATTGGGTTTACTGTTATGGTGCAGTCTTGCAACTTTCCTGGAGGTTTGAGATTTTGCAGAATGAAGCATTGCCTACCCGGAGCCCGAGCCTTCAGACCTGCTCCCTTGGCCCAGCCAGGCTGAGAGGGGAGGGTTTTCTCTCTTTGGAGGGGGCCTTTGCGAGGATGACAAAGGAGCTGGCTGTTTCTGGGCCTGGGCCTGGAAGGCGGGGCCCTTTGGGGACAGGCACCTGCTTATTTTCTGTCCTCGCTTTCCCAAACCATGTCCTTCCACAGGCTACTCGGGACGTGGTGCTGAGCCGGACGCCGGAGCAGGAGCAGGACCGGGCGGTGAGCCTGCGGAATGCCGCGGCCATCTACGACCTCCTGAGCATCACGCTGGGCAGGAGGGGCCAGTATGTCATGCTCTCCGAGGTACGGCCGGCCCACCCCAGCCAGAACTCAGGGTGGCACACAGAGGAAATCCGGTGGGGCCACCAGTTGTCCTCCGCCGTCCCTTCCCTGCCCCCACCAAGCGTGCAGCTCAGTTCTGGGGAGGCCAGGCTTGGCCCTGTTCCCTTTCCAACGCCAAGAGAGCTGCGCTTCACTGGCAGGGTGTTTTTTGGTTTTACTCATGGTCTTATGTGTTTTCTTTTGGAAGTAACACATGGCAATGCATAGAGAAGCACAAGAGGAAAGTTACACGCTCCTCAGTTTCCCACCAGAGATGACTGACATGGGTGTTTTGAGGCTTCCTCCTGGCAGGGTTCTAAGCTGGGTAGACAGACACCCACATTGTGTTGGGCAGACCCTGCTGGGGCAGTGCTCAGTGGGCTGTGCCTCTCTGGGGTGGGGTGGGGGTACCAGGGGTACTAGGCTTCCCCTGTCTTCTGCCCACTGCCTGCAAGGCACATGGCATGCCCATTTTTGAGATTTCAAATCCAAGGTGAGATCAAGGTGGCTTTGGGGCCCTTGTTCCCTTGTGACAGGAATGAGCCTCTTAGCAGGAGATTCTCCTGCCACATGTTTGGGAGGGCTCCTGAAAGGAGGGACAGTGGCACCCACCAAGCTCCTGCCCACACCAGGCACCCCGCGAGTTGCTTTCTAAGATGACCCCCCCACCTTTAATGTGGGAAGGATAAGTGGTGTTCTCTCAAGTTTACCACAGGGAAGGCGAGGCCCAGAGAGCTGGTTTTGCCTGAGAAGGTGCAGGGAGTGCCTGCCGAGCCAGCACATGAACCCAGGCCGCTGAGCTCTTCAAGTGCATGCTGTCTGGTCCTGTGTCCCTCGCCTGTCCCCCACCTCACCTGCTCATGGCCACACAGTGAATCTTGTCCTCATGTACTGGCGGCATCTGCCTCTAGCCCCTGGTTTGGGTTGCCCAGGGCTGGCCAGGCCAGGGAAGCAATAGATTTTCTTGGTGGGCACAGACAACAAACAGGAGGATGAAGAGGAGCCTTCGCGCTTTGGCGGCCTTCTAACCACAGGCTTTGCAGTCGGCCTGCCCTGCCACTACGGGCCTTGTGCCTCTGGCAAGTCATTCAGGCCTCGTCTTCCTTCTCTGAGAAATTAGGTAACCCACCTCGCCAGATTGTTGGGAGGGGTAAATGAGTTAAAACGTGTAAAAAGCTGAGAGCAGTGCCATGTACAATATTAACAAATGTCGGCTGTTATTATTTGCATTGGATGTCTACACTTTGGAAACCACTTTCTCATCTCATTCGCTTTTCACCGTTCCCCTGTGAGATCACTCACATGCTACGGAGGTAGGGACCGAGGGACAGAGAGGGTGAGAGACTTGTGTGGGATAACACAGCATGCTAGTTGCATGGACAGGAAACCCCTGGAGTTTTCTAACTAGAACCAAGTGCCGGACTCCCGCAGCCTCCTGAGGGCAGTGACTTGGGCGGTGATTACCCTGGAAGAGCGGGATGGGCTGGGGGTGTCCTGGCAGGGGAGTGCTGACCAGATGCCTCCCTCTCCCCAGTGCCTGGAGCGAGCCATGAAGTTTGCATGTGGAGAATTTCACCTTTGGTACCAAGTGGCACTCTCCATGGTGGCTTGTGGAAAGGTAAGGCCCAGATGCTGGGGGTTGCACATCACCCTCAGGAGGCTCTGCTCTCCTCTGGTCCCCGCAGAGGTGGGGGATTCAGGAATGTTGTCAAGCAGCTGATTTTTATCTCCAGGAAAATGAGGGCAGGGGAGGGCCACACACAGACCCCTGTGCGCATCCAGTGTCCACATGCGAGTTACACATGTGCCAGGTGTGCAAGCGTGAGTTTAGGGGTGCTTTTCTCTGAGGACATGTGCACGCATGCAGCATCGTAGCCTTTCCTTGGGTGAGTTGATGGTACAGCAGCATGAGACAGGTGTGGGGAGTAGGTTCCAGCAAGGGGAACATCGCTCCATTCGGGTTGTACCTGTCTTCCCACCCTCCCAAGCGTGGAGTCAGGAGAGGACCTGTCCGTAACCTGGAACTGACCACATCCCGGGTCGAAGGGCCGTGTTTGCTCTCCACCCACCAAACACTGTTTTAATACCCCTTGTTTTTCCTCCGATGAGAATCACACTTACGTAAGCCTCTATTTTAAGTAGTGACATGATAGGAAAAGCTTTCTGGGACTGGGTGCTGGGGCTGTTGGAACTGAGGATGCTTCGAAGGCAGGAAATAAGGTGGCATGAGCTCGCAGATCATTCCAAGAGCTGTAAACACCCAGGGCCCTTTCATGGGGCTGAGGGAATTCCTTGCCCGCCCGCCCATCTGTGCCACCTGCCATTTCTAGCCCCGCAGCCGTCTCAGGGGGGGCCTCCTAGGCTTGCCAGCTCCTCCATCACAAATACAGGGTGTACAGGCTGGGTCCTGGCAGGGAGAGGGAAGGAGAGCAGGTGCTGTAGCCTGACAGGCGGGAAATACAGCCGAGAATCAAGCAGGGAGCCTTCTCTGCCCCGCCTTGCTTCCCAAACCTCTTGCCCCTCCCCCATGGAGTCATGACGTGATGTGCCCTGGCTCTGTGCCCAGCAGGACCTTGTCAAGGCTCAGGGAGAGTTCAGAACAGAGAGGCGGAAGCAGGAGCGGGGGCCGGAGCGTACATGGAGCCTGGGCAGACAGCTCAGAGTGGCGTGTGACAGCTTCTTCCTGCCCCCAGGAAACAGAGAAGACGCCTCTGGTTTTGTAATAGTGAGCAGGGCCCAGAAGGAGGCCCGGGACTGCAGTGGGCCTCGCCCCTCCTAAGTCACGGACCCCTGTGAGGTGCTAAGGAAAGCTGGGGGCCCCCACCGCAGAAGAATGAGTCACACGCGGGAGTTAGCTTTAATTTCTGTGGTCGCTCCTGGGAGCCCCCCAGTCTCAGGAGAAGGTGTCGTGTTAGCCTGGGAGGTATGGGGTCTTCCATCTCCTCACTGAGAAGAGCCAGGCTCAGGGGCCCAAACACAGCCTAGCACATTCCCGGATCGGGGAGCTGGTGTTCTGGCCAGGCTCCTTCCCACACCAGCAAGGTGCACACGGGGATGGGCTTAAGATGGGGAGTGTTCCTTACACGTGAGGCTGGAGACACTGGCCTACACCCCCCCCCCCCCCACTGCATTTGCTGCAGCAGGAGATTGTTCTAGAAGTACACTCCCCACCTCCAGGAATGCTGCCCACCAGATTGGTTGGCCTGGTTGGCCAGACCTCACCTTTTCTAAGATCCTAAGGTTCTGTACCTGTGATTGTGCCCAAAAGGTCTTCCAGAAGGTGAGGCCGGGCAGATAAAAATACATCTGGCTCTTCCACCTGCAGGAAGAAAGGATCAGTTCCATGGCATGATTTAGGTCGCTCTTTCTTTTGGTCTCCTCAGCAATCACATTGGCTGTGTTGCTAGGGAACCAGCATGACAAAAAAAAAAAAAAAAAAAAGCCGGCTGCTCTAACTGCGGAGTCCACAGATGGCTCCTTAAATAGCAGCGTTTCGTGGTCTGTGCAGGAGTAGAATGTGAATTTGGAGGGTCAGATTAGAGAACCCTGTATTTTAAGGATGCAGAGTCAGCGGCCAGCGAAGGAAGCCTAGGAAAGGCCTTGAAGCTTGCTGGGGTTGTAGCCAGATGGACCGTGGAGAGAGCTGGAGGTAGCGTTCACAGGACAGGCGGATGGCCTGGCAGCTCCTGTAAGCCCCTCATGCAGCCTCCCTTGCTCCAGCCCACGCAGGGCGCCTCATACAATCTCCCCGCCTGCTGGAGCCTGTCATCTGCTAACACCCTCTCCTGCGTGCTCCCTTTGTTTCCTGAGAGAGCAGTGGGGGATGGTGGTATTTGCCTGTTCTCCCCAGCCTTCCCCCAAAAGCCATGGCCCCTTCCCCACCCCCGCACGGACTCCACTATCCTTTGGCCAGTGCTGGGCACAGAGCAGGCTGTTGGTTCAAACATCTGCAATTGGCCTAATAAGCCTGAGCCCAGAGCCCCCAGGAAATCTGTCCCATCTGGGCTAAGAGAAGCTCTTTTTCCTCAGCTAGTGGGCAAAGGAGGGGTAGTGCAAGAGGGGCAGGGGTCCCAGGTTGCATCTGCCAGTCCCTCATACCATGCTGTGGGCAGGCGAGCCCCCATTTCCTCCGCATTACCTCCGGAGGTGCCAGGGAGGAGGGAGAGAGCTAATTATGGTGAGGAGCTCAGCCCACAGTAGGGCCCAGCACGTGGGAATTGTCGAAGTTACTCGCACGTGTCCCTGCGTGCTGGGGCCTCACGCAGGAAGGGGAGTGTTCATGCTGAGTGGTGGGTGGTGGGTTGTGGGGATCCCCACTGAGTTTCATGGCAAAGCACTGGACTCAGTCAAAAGGTTCCAGCCTTGAGTGAGTGTGTATGTGTGGCGAGGGGAGACATAGGCCTCCTCTCTGGCCAAGGCAGTCACCGCAGAGACAGGATAGGGCAGTGGGTACAAACTGAGAGCCAGATTGTTGAAACCCCAGCTCAGCCACTTCTGGGAACTGTGGCCCTGAATAAGCTACTTAACTTCTCTGCATTTCTGTTTCCTCATCTGAGAATAGGGACGTAGTACCTACCTTACAGAAGAGTCTGTGGAAATCAAATGACTTTATATTTATAAAGCACTCAGAACGGGGGTCAGCAGACATTCTGTAAAGGGTCCAAGAGTAGATATTTTTGACATTACAGGCCAAACCATTTCTGTGGGAACACCTCAGCTCTGCCTCAGCATCATGAAACTAGCCACGGATAATACATATATGAATGGACATGGCTGAGTTCCAATATTTATTTACAAAAGCAGGCAAAGGGCCCGTTTGGCCCCCTGACTGACTGCGAAGTTTGTTTGGTCCATAGTAAGATCTAGACAAGTGTTGCTGGTGTTCTTCTCATTACTATGATTAGTGATATCTTTGCCTGGCCCTGGACACCCTCCGCGCTTGGCGCTGAGTCCATGGAGCTTGGGGGATCCCCAGATTCATGACTGGAGGTGCTCTCTGGCTCTGCCATCTTGGCTTCTCTCTGCCTTGTCTGCCAGCCTTTACGCTTCCACCCCATTCCCTGCCACCAGCCCTGCCTCCCAGTCCTAATGTGGTGTTGGCCCGATCTCATCAACTATTAACCCTAGAGTGTTGAATTCAGAGATTTAAGAGTGTCCCTCTCTACCTCTAACGTGTGTAGTTCACATCTGAACTCCTTTTAAAGAGCTCCCACCTGTTGTCACCCTAGCTGTGGTCATATCACTTCTGGGTAAGGGTTAGAGCCTCCGTTCTCCAGATGAGGAGACGGGGGCCCAGGAGGGACGTGCCAGCCCACACCACCTGGGCTCCTACTAGGCCCTCTCCGTGGCTCTTGGGAAGAAAGGGGTGCAGAGCAGGGACTGGCAATCTGGTAACGCCCCCACTGTGCATGAGGCGCCCGGTCAGTTGCAACCTAGGGCCGCACATGATGACATTGCCTGCTCTTTCTTTTGCAGTCAGCCTACGCTGTGTCACTGCTACGGGAGTGTATGAAGCTGCGGCCCTCAGACCCCACCGTGCCCCTGATGGCCGCTAAGGTCTGCATCAGGTCCCTGCACTGGGTAAGTGAGCCTCAGGGGCAGGGCAGACAAGGCCCAGGTCCTGGTGGCCTCCTGCAGGAGGGTGGCAGCAGGGGGCGTGAGACTGGGGCATCCCCATCTTGCTGTGTCTATAAATGAGGATGATATACATGACAAAGTATGGAGAAAGCTGGATGGGCCAGGGACACTTCCTGGAGGAGGAGACCTTGGACTAGGCTTGGAATTCTGGGAAAGATCCACACAGGCCGGTGGCAAACCCTTCTTGTCACAGCTTGCTTTCCCTAGCCCCATGATTAGCAGGGAAACCTCTTGCTCCCCAAGTCTTTTCAGGGAGACTGCTGGCATCTAGCACCCTAGAGGGAAAGCAGCCTTGGGATGTGGGCGGTATGTGGGTGCTGGCAGAAAGGAGACACCCAGGCTGAGCAATGCAGCAGAGGGTGGCGGTATAAGCGGGAGAACACAGAGAGGGTGGGCTCATCAACCTCTAGCTCACAGTCCTACGTATTCCCAGGGCTCCTGAGAGTGGCCTCAACCCCGTCACTGGGATAAAGCCCAAAATACCCACCTCACCGAGGTGGGGCGGGGGAGGGCATCTGTGTGCCCCGAGGCTGCCAGCTCTGAGGTGTCTGTGGGTCCACCCAGCCAACAGCCGCCCTTGCCAGGAAGTCCTAAATTTAGGTCTTCCCGCAGTGGAGGAGCTGTTTCCCTCAGCAGCATAATTACAGTAATTATGTGCATTCAGATTACATGGTAATAAAATTAGGCTCAAATCAGTCCAAATTGAAATCAGATGAGTTAGGAGCAAAGTAATCAATGACAACATAAATAGAAAAGCCCAAACGGAAACTTAAACATGCAGGCTTGTCATCAGAATCGGGGAGGAGGGTGAGTTGTTTAACCTCAGCTAAGAGCATATTTGGGTTAGGGGGCTGGTGTGAGCCTGGGTTTACATCGGGCACAGGCTAGAGTGGGTCCTGGTGGAGGGCCAGGCTTGAGCGGGCCCTGCGGGGTTGGGGGCAGTCCTGGCAGCCTTCCCTGACCAAAACCTCACCTCTGCCACTCCCTAAAGCCTCGCTTCTTCCTGCCTTGGACACTCAGCACATCACGTCATAGTCACTCGTCTTTCCTGAGGGCAGGAAATTTCTCTCTTCCTTCTTGAAACCCCAGCCCAGGTGGATGCCTGGTGCTTCCTGTATGAGTCCTTGCTGATGAGCACAAACATGTGGTACCGAATTCTGCCCTTAGATGGTACTTGTCTTCCCGATTAGATGGGGAGCTTCTTCACTTGCCATGTCTTGCCCCCTGAGCCCTGCTTCCCCACACAGAACCCTGCCTGTGGTGGGTGTTCACTAATATCTCGCAGGATGATACCTGCCGCAGCTGGCCAGGAGGGACAGGTGTCGGGGGGACCTGCATCTGGTGCAGTGGCTCTCCCTGGCTGCCTGGGTTGCTGCTGGGCCAAGAACAGGCTGTTGGGAGCCAAGGGCAGCCGGTGCCCAAGGAGGCCAGGAGGGGACGGCCCAGCACTCTCTGTTTCAAGGCTTTGAGCAGGAAGGATGGGCCTGGCTGCCGCGCACAGAGGGGCGCTGGTGCTTGGGACAGGGCATGGATCCTGAAAGATGTCTCCCATCACTTCTGTCCCCTGCCTTTGTAGCTATCCTGGCTCACATCCGTCCCCAGCAGGCCCGACCATTGCCCGCCAAGCTCTGCTAGCAGGGGACAGGAGTCTAGGGGTGGACAATTTGGCCCAGGTTGCAGGAAGGGAGGCTGAAACTGGGACATTTGAAAAACGAGTTGTGCTGGATAAAACCGGACTGGGTGGCCATGTGCCCAGAGGCGGAGCACCTGCTGTCCCCACGTCCTGCCCTTATGCCAGAGCCAGTGTGGGATGTCCCAGGCTGGGTCCAGGTCTGGGTCTGGGGTGGTTAGATGGGGCACTGGGCAGAGGGACGGTCATGCGCGGGTTGATGTGGGGCATGCAGTGGGTGGGAGCAGCTGTGGGATCAGGTGGGAGGCTTAGCCTGAAGCTCCCCTAGGTGACAGGCACGTGTGGCAGCCTCGTGCTCTGGTGTGGCCAGCGTCTTGCCAGGGTCCTCGGCCAGTTACTTGGGGCTAGAGAAGAGGGAGATGTAAATATTTTTTAATATCCCTTCAAACACAGTTATTTAAAATTCATGTAATTTAAAACGTTGAATCTTCTCCAGGAGGATAGGAGGTGGGGGAGTGCTTGTGTGCTGTGTCACGCACAGAAAGGGAAGGAGAGGAGGTTATGAAACAGAAGCAGAAGCAGGCCATGCTCCTCTTTGGTGATACTGCCTCCGGGCCTCTTCGCCTGGAGGGATTGTGTGGGTGGCAGAAAGAGTGCAGGCTTTGGAGGAAGAGAGGATGGGGTTCAAATCCCTGCCTACCCGCTTGGTGTTGTGTGACTTGAGTGGAGTAATTCACCCTCACTGTGCCTCCTCTGTAACCTGGAAACACCAGAGCAGAGGCGTGTCCCTACTTGGCACATTGCAGGTACCAGGTAAATGGCAGCTATCTCTGTGGCAGCCTCTTCAAATAAGCAGGCTCTCAGAAGGGCCTTCATTTTTCAGATTCAGGGGTGGGCAGAGCCAGGAAGATGGATTAAGTGTTTGTGAGAGAAGGAAGAAAGAATGGCAGCTCTGCTGCCATTAGCTTTTGGGGATCAGGAAGAACGCCTGCTTCTCCCAGGAGAGCCAAAGTGCATTTTCAGTAGAGCAGATAACAACAGGTCCTGGGCCCTGTGGGATGTGCCTAGGGAGAACCCAGAGGTGCTCTTTAAGCAAGCTCTGCAGGCTCAAAAGCAACCTCTCTCCAGTTCCCAGGAAGGGAGGAGGAGGGCGAAGATCCCAGGGGATGACCTCTCTGGCCCAGTGCGCGAGGAGGGAGGCAGCCCAGTGGGTGGGAGGCGGCCTGAGCGTGAGCAGTGTGTGCAGCTGAAGCCAGTCTGAGGCAGGGACCAAATTAGGACAACTGGTGAGATGCAGGAACTTGTAAAGTCACTTTTCTTACTTACGGAAAGCAAAAGCATGATACTCTCCAGTGCATCTTTCCCCAGAGGGTCAGAGAGGAGAAGAGGGAAGAACCATAGAGGGCAGCCTTGAATCAGGAAGCTCCGAAAGAGTCAGACATAGATCAGGAGACCTGGGTTGGAAACGCAGTTCTGCCACTTACTAGCTGGGTGACCTTGGATAGGTCCCCGAAGGTCCCCGTGTGTCAGAACCTTCAACTACGAAACACCCATCCCATTGGGTGGCCACGGTGCCGAGAAAGGTCAGGTGAGCAGTAACTTGCTCTAGAATGGCAAGGGAGGGCGAGGACCTCCGCCTGGGTTTTGCTCAGTTGCACGGCTACCGGAAGTAAAGGAGGTATTAAAAGCAGTGTATCATCAGCAGGAGAATGGTTGAAAAGAACTTTGAGAACCCCTGACCTTACAAGTACTTTGATGAGCATGGAGAGCCCAGTGCTGTGACCTGAGTGGATCTTGCAAAAGCAGGAGCCACGACTACAGAGCTACCCGCTGTTCCTTTAAGGCCACAGGAGGAAGCATCTGGAGACTGGAAAGGACCAACGAGGTCCTAGGTGGGAGTAAGATATGGCCAGGGTGGGTGTAGATGGGCAGATGCTGGGTGGCTCAACCCAGGGTGACATCCATTAGTGGGTTGTGAAATAAAACTCTTCAGAAATTGAAATAGGCTGTTAGAGAAGAGGAGAGAAAATGTCCGCGTATATGAGCCACAGTTGGGGTGAGTGATGGGACAGAGGGTAGGTGAGTGGATATATGTATGTGCATCCTGGACCACGGGTCAGGGGCCAGAGTGTGAGCAGCCTGGCCCAGTGGACTGCCCAAGGCTGTGGGGACCCAGCTTGTCCTCCGTCGTCACTCCTTTTCTGCGCCTAAGGGTCAGGCCAGAGACAAAAGGCAGGCAGTGGTGTACCCTGTCTGGATTCAGGAGGGTCTTTGATGTCACCTCCTAATTTATCACTGAGATCATGCTGTACAGGGGAGGGATCTACCCAGAGGGCACTTGCTACATCTATCAGCCTGAGACTTTAAAAATTCTGGAAGATTGAACTAATCATATATATAAAATTGCAACTAATAATAACAGTTTATATTTATTCAAGCACTGCTCTGAGCATTCACAGCGTCCTCTGAGAAACCCTATGAAACAGACAATTATTATCCCCATTTCACAGAAGAGGGAACAGAGGCACAGCAAAATGAGATGACGTGCCCAAAGTCACACAGCAAGTACCCACACTGGGATTTGAGCCTAGCAGGTCTGGCCCCAAAGCTGTGTTCTTACCTACTAGGCTGCCCTGGCCTCTGCATGGAGAGCTATTCATGGGTGTGGCGCTGGCGCTGGACTTAGGTTAGATTACAGTTCTTCGGGACAAAGGCAGAAAAGCCGCAATCTCAAGGGCTCTGAGAATCCCGCTCTTGTCTAGATGGAGGGGAATTGTGCGTGTTATACATATATATTTTTTTCTTTAAATATATATATATTTTGTTTTTAAAATATATTTTATATTTAAAATACATATATATTTGGGAATTGTTTATCATATTGTATATTGTCCTACATGTGGACTTGACAGTATTTCTTTTCCTTATAATCACTGTGTTGGCTCCACGTGTAAAAAGCTTCTTTGATTCTGGTAATAGAAATCAAAAGAGTGTTGGCCATGTAGGGAAATGGTACATTGAGGCCTTGTGAGTTTGATTTGAGACAAATGCTGACGCCATGCTTAGGGATCATTTTAAACCACGTGGATAAGGCTGGCAAGTACTGGTGAAGGAAGGCCACTGGCCCGGAGGTCAGAGTGGGCCACAAGTCGGACAAGCTAAGGATGTATGTTTTCATTTCTTAAAGCTCAAGGACAGTGAGCTCTATTAATCCAGAGTGCGACGTGCTTAAACTGGGCAGTAACTTTCCCCTGTTTGCCAGGAATCGCTGAGCCTTCTTCCCAGCATCCTCTCTCTGTGGGTTGCAGGAGGTGGAAGCTCGTGTTGACCGCGTAGAAGGACATGGGAAGAGTGTTTACACTTGGAGTGCAGGAGGTTTCTGGATTCTTTTTTTAACTTGTACTTGGTGGTTTATAAAAAAAAAAAACCTGTTCCTTCTGCATGAGGCATAATGAGGCCTAAAGGCTGTGAGAGATGAGTTGTGTCCGCAATGGAAAGGCGCTATTTGCTCACTTCCCCTTCCCGTGATGCTGCCCCCCACCCCCCGCCACGAGGCCTCCTTGGACAACCCCAGCCACATGACGGCCCCTCTGGAAGCTCTCATAGTCCCGTGCCGGCCCCACACAGTGGAGCCTTATGGGAGAGCCACACTGCTCTGCAGGACCTCGCCCTCCTTTGCTTCGGCTCGCAGAATCCCGTGCAAGCTCAGCAGGCACCCTGCGCCGCTGTCCCTGAGCAGCCCGAGCCGGGCCCGGCCCAGAGTCTGATGCCGCAGAAGTCTCCGCAGCGGTTTGTAGGGAGAAGCAGTTAAAGCGAGGGCTGCACCTCCACATTTTGCAGATGAGGGCCTTTGGGGCCCAGAAGCTAAGAGACTTGCTCAAGGCCCATGGCTATCAGGTGCCGAGTCAGGATCAGAGCTGGTGTCAGGATCGGAGCCAGTGTCGAGCTGCTTCTCCTCCAGTGCTTTTCTTTCATTCTGGCTCTGACTTCAGGCCCCTTTAACCTTCCCGAGTCCTGCAGGGCCAGGTGCTCCAGGGACAGATCTCAGCATCTCCAGCCTTGGCCCTACCCAGCCAGCCCGCGCTGGGCAGCAGGCCACTGTGGGGTTTCCTGAGCTGCTGCCTCCGCATAAGCCCAGCTTCTCGGGCTCACGGTGTCAGAGGCCCAGCTCCCCGATGCCCTCATTTTTCTTTTAATGACCAGCCTGTCAGCCTGGAGGTTGCCCACTGCCGTGGCCGGGATTGGTCAGGGGTGGTGATATGTCAGAGGGACTCAGCCTTCCCCAGCTATGTCTCCCTGGGCTGTCAGCTCGCCCTCTCGAGCTCTGTTGTGCTTTGGTTTTATTGTTTCCCTCTCTGTTCACTGACTGGGTTCTTTGCTCCGTCAGCCTTCTTCCTGCATGGAGCTCCCAACAGCTGCGCCCAAAGAGTGGACTCAGCTCAGCTCACTTCTCCACACTGATGGCCCCTGTCTCAGTGTCTCAGCTGCACACCCCAGGGAAAGAGAGTCCATCGTCCCTCCACCCTCAGCTATGGCCAGTAGTCAGGCCACGATATGCACGCAGCTGCCCTTCTCCCAAAGGAGTGGGGCTCGGCCTTGGCAGGGACAGGAGCGAGGTGGGGCACACCAGCTTGGGTGCCAGAAGCCAACTTAGGTTCGTCTCTGTTTCCTGGTTGATTGACTTCATGGGCCTCTCCTAGGGGAAGACACCCCACACAAGGGGGCCATCCATGTGGGTGGTAGCGGGCTTTGGCAATGATTTGTTCAGCCACCTTGCTATGAGGCAGTACCCATCTTTGTTCTTCATGAACCGAGCTTGGGTTCACTGCCACACTAGGCGTGTGGGCAGTTAACATTCCTGGGCCTGCAAGGAGGGAGGGGGCATTTGTTGGAGGCCTGTGGGCTGTGAGTGGGCACAGCTGAGGCCCCCAGTTGTCCCCTGCCTCCCTGCCTGGCCGGACCACCATCGGTGACCCAGAGGGCTCAGGAGGCCTGCCGCGTGTATGCCCCTCTCTTTGTGTCACATGTTGTATGTGATGATGTGAGCATACATGACCTGTGCTGATTGGTCACTTTCTAACTGGAATAGGACAAAAACAGCCCCAGGCCTTTTCCCCTGGAAAAGTTGAGCTCCCTGTGTCAGGGAGCGAGCTCACAGGCAGAGCAGAAGTGGTGGCCCAACCCCTCTGCAGGGTGGGCATTGTCCCCTGGGCCCAGTCCCAGATCCCTGCCTGAATCCCTGCCCCTGGCGTCCTTCTGCTGGGCAGGGACAGGCCCAGGGACCTACAGAGGCCAGACAAGGAAAAGAGCTGGTGCAGGCTGGCCTGGGACCAGGGAAGCTTTCTCTGAGAGACGCAGGGCCCTGTGACCATGAGCGCAGGCCCTGGGTGAGTGAAGAGGTCCCGGGAGTCACAGGTAGAAGTAACAGCTTTGATCCTTCCACTCTGGTTGCTGTGGCCTCAGACAAGCCGCCTGGCCTCTCAGGCCGTAGTGCTGCCCACGCACGAGGGACTGCAGCTCTGAGTGGCCGGGGCTGGTGACGGTGAGCAGTCTGCAGGCTAAGGCCGGGGACACCCTCCCAGTGAACTGCGCCTCTCCTCTTTGCAGCTGGAGGAGGCCGAGCACTTTGCCACGCTGGTGATCAACCTCGGTGAGGAAGCCGGGGAGTTTCTCTCCAAGGGCTACCTGGCGCTGGGTCTCACCTATAGCCTGCAGGCCACCGATGGTGAGTGCCACCTGGGAACCTCTGCTCTGGCCTCCCAGGCCTCCGTTCGATCAGTGTCTACCTCCCAACACATCCCCATTGGCTCCTTTGGGGTAGATGGGCGCACACACACCTCTCGGTCCCAGTTCCACTCTTGCCCAGGCTGCACCATTCTCAGGGATGCCCTTTTCATCGCCCAGTTCTTCCCACCCTCCAAGGCCCAGCCCTGCTCCTGGCAGAGCCCGTGCCCCGCTCTGCCTCTGGGGCTCCTGTGGTGCCGGCAGCTGGAATGGGCCCCCAGCCCTGACCCCACATTCTACTTCATTCTGGTTCACCTTCAACCTCAGCACTGCTGTGATCTTCTGGGGTCTTCGGAATCTTCCTCCAGGCATGGGTAGAGCGGGTACACAGCAGGTGTTTAATAAATACTCGTGTTTGGTCGAGGGGCCTTCACTCCTGCTACCCAGAGCCCAGCATTCTCTCCCCAGTCCTCCCAGCCCAGCTGTGTGACCCCCGTGGATCGGGCAGCCGCCTGCTCCTATATCCTTGCAGCTCGAGGGGAAGGGAGTGATGGGCCCCTCCCCCCCGGGACTAAACATGGGGTAGGAATTGGCCCCTGAATGTATAATAGAGATTGCTGGGGTGGGGGAGGGGCGCTGGTGTTCAGAGGGTTTAGACTTTCTGTTAGGGATAATGAAAAAGTTCTGAAAGTGGATGGTGGTACCAGTTACACAACATTCTGAATGTGCTTAATGCCACTGAATGGTACACTTAGAATTTGTTAGAGTGAGTGAAAAAGCAGCGGCAGCCTCATGGGTAAGGAAGCCCAAGGACACACGTGGCCAGAGTGGAAGTGGGAAGCTTCTTCTCCAGGCTCAGGCCTTTGAGAGGGTCAGGTTGGCCCACGTGGCAAAAAAGACAGTGGAGTGGAAGGACCTGTTGTGCCAAGAACCGTGCCGGGAGGCGGGGGCCAGGTGGACACCACACACCCTGCCCCCCTAACCAGAGCGGTGGGTGGCATCAGTCTGGAGTTGCTGGAGTGCAAGCATCTGCCAGCAGCGCCCGGCGGGGCCTCTCCATGCAGCGCCTGTGTGCCCTGGAGTCGGGTAGGGCCGGGCGGGCGCCCCTGAGCACCCCCGCATGGCTGTCTCCTTCCTGTCTCCCGCAGCGACTCTGAAGAGCAAGCAGGACGAGTTGCACCGGAAAGCACTGCAGACGCTGGAGAGGTGAGGGGGCCTGAACGGCATAGAGGCATAGGTGGTCGATGCACAGAGGACCCTCTGGTGTAGGCGGAGCAAAGGTTTCTGTCCCCGGGTTATTGACCAGGAAACCGAGGCTCCAGGAGCTCACACAACGAAGCAGGCCCAGGCCCTTGGGGTTGGGTGGGCGGTTGAGTCTTTCAACACTGGTAGACCCTCCCCGCCCCAGGCTGAGCCCCCACCCTCCTGAGTCAGGGCTCTAAAATGGGAATAATAACCCACTGCTGTTGTGATAATTACCTGAGATAAAGCAGGAAAAGCACCTTGCACAGCGCCTTACCTATAGCAGGAGCTCAAAAATTCAGGGGCTGTGGGAAGCTCCCATCCATAGTCCTCCCAGAGATTTCCTGGCAGCCCAGGGTCCGGAAGGTGCCGGGAGGCGGGGCTGGGGGAGGGGGGCAGAGAAACCCTCCCCCCGTCAGTGGCCCTCTCTCCCTCAGACCCGCCCTGGCCGAGCCCCTGTCTCCACCACAGCCCTGAGCCCCCTGAGCATCCCTCCGCACTCCTCCCTCAGAGCCCTGCGTGCCTGGCCCTTGCAGCTCCATCCCCCTAGCCCTGACCTGGCAGCTGCCGGGCAGGGGCCTGCCCCAGGCTCCTTGTGCCAGCCTCCTCGGAACATGGAGCCCATCTAACTCCCTCCTGAGGCAGGTTGTTGCCAAAGCCAGGGAGGTCAGAGTCCCATCCTGGGCACCCAGGATAGGGGGGCATTTCCTTCTTCCCCTGCCACCTCTTCATTCCTGAGTCTTCTTGCCCAGGGAGGCCATTCCCAGCCCCTCTATCCTCAGAAAGGTGTTCCCTTCTGTCCCATGGTGGAGAGGGCAGGCTCCAGGCTCTGCGCAAGGCCATGGCAGGGCCACAGCCAGGCCAACAGCTGCCCAGAGATGACAGGCTTCCCCCACCCCCGTCCTCCCCCTCCCAGAGGCCCCTCCCCTCAGTCAGCCCCCTAGGAGCCTACTGCCCCTGCCGGTGGCTTTCTGCCCAAACCATCATCTCCAGGCTGGGCACCCTCCTAAATGGGACACACCGAATCCCCAGCGCTTTGCCCCGCAGCATGCTGGCACGCTGAAGACCCCTGTCACACTGGTTGCTCGGCCCCTGGCGACTGACCTGCTGCTCCCTTTCCCCACACAGAGCCCAGCAGCTGGCGCCTGGCGACCCCCAGGTCATCCTCTATGTTTCCCTGCAGCTGGCCCTCGTCCGACAGGTGGGTCCTAACAGTTCCTAACTGCCAGGTCTCTGGCACCACTTCTTTAACCAGCTGTGTGACCCTTTGCAAATGAATTGACCTCTCTGAGCCTCTGTTTCCTTATCTGTTCCATGAGCACCTCAAACTCCATCTCAGGCGGACTTAGTGGGATTAAGTCGGATAATGTGGTACAGCCCCTGACCCATGGTAGGTACATGGTGGGCAGATAATTCTCGGCCCTCACTCTCCCTAGACATGCAGGACTCGTGAGAGGTCAATGAGTGATTACGATAAGCGTTTGTTGGTGTCCTCACTTACCGCCCAGCTTTCTCCGCTGATCTGGGGCAGCAGAGTGATGGGCACATGGAGCTGTTTCTGTATCACCCCAAGGCTTTTCCCTCACTCTGTGGATACCACCGACAGGCATGGCCTCTGGGGCCTGACGGGGGCCTCCCATCCGCTGACCGCCTTCGCCCCACTGGGACCGCCGCCACCCCAGGCTCTCCAGGCTGGCCCGCCTTCCTCCCCCAAGTTGAGCAGCTATTGGTCTCAAGAGTGAGACCACACAGTTACCCGCCCAGCAGATTTTCTTTCAGGAAAGTCAGAGCTTCCGTCCCAGGCCCTTCGGAGTCTCTGATTCACGTGTCCGCCTGGGTCCTCAGGCCAGTGCTCTGTGCCACACCTGGCCTCGGAAGCAGGACCTCTCGTGGCCTTGGCCCAGTGAGTGTGGACTCTGGACTGCTTGGGGACAGCAGGCAAGGCTTGACTCCTGCAGCACAGGCCTCACCTGCACTGGCTGGGACACAGCTGGACTCCACATTGTTGGACAGAAGCCAGCAGAGCCCCATCTGTCATGGTGAGGTGACGAGCAGTGCTGGCTAATGTGGGTGCTGTTGTACCCACCCCTGCTGGCCTGGGTGAGCCCTGCATCTGAGGAAGGGGGCACCCTTGGCCCCACTTTGTACCTGAGGACCCCAGGCTCTCCTGAGCTCAGTCACTGGGCGCTGGCCAGGCCCGCCCTGGACCCAGGCGTCTGACCCAGACCCCGCCTGCCCCAGTTAAGAAACCCCAAGTGGCTCTGGGTATCCTGTTTGGAGACGGGGCACTTGGAGCCTTGTTCTCTGGCCTGGGGATTGGTCTTACTGGTCCATGTCAACTTCTGGCCTGTGGTCTCCTCTCCAGTTGGTTCGCTGAGCTGTTTCTTCTCGTCAGGTTGCAACGGCCTGGCTTTTCCCTCACTGCACCCTGATTGTCACTGCTGGGACCCTTCCCTTTCATGTCCCCATGCCCGTGTCTGCCATGACCTGAATTGGCACTCATCATCACTCTACTTCTGAGTCACTGTCTCCCTCTCTGGGTCCTCCTTTCTCAGCCATTTCTCCCTAGCAGCCCACCCCTCCCCGCCGCTCACTCTGTCCCTCCTCCACCTCCAGGCTGCCGCTGACCGCCCCAGGCCCTCACCCCCCTGTGCCCATGGCTCCTGACTTTCAGGTCCTGGGAGAGGCCCTTGGTCCCTCTCTGCCACCCTCTCCAGGAACATCAGTCTGCTCTGATGCTCCCAAGGGCACAGAGAGCAAGATACCTGAGACCACTTTATTTTTAGCCCTGTGTAAAAGAACCAGTGCTTTTCTTGCCAGTCAAATTCATGATAAACCTTTGGTGATGCATTTTTTAATATCTTTAAGTATTCAGCCACCTCTGATGAATGGCATCTATTGTCTCAGAAAGATGGCTGGACCAGACCAGTGGAGCCTGGCACCCGGTTTTCTTGGGGACCCCAGATCTTGGTAGCTTCAGGGGCCAAGGGCCCCTGAATGGACTGTAAGCTGGGCCCTGGCCTGCCCTGGGTCTCCGGTCCCCTGGTCCATTCTGTCCAGATCTTGTATGGCTGCCTGAGCAGTGAAGGCTGCAGATTGGGATTCCCAGCGCAGGGTGATGGGGCCCGCTCTGGAGAACCACCAGGGTAGCAGCAGCCTCGGGCAGACACAGGCAAGCCAAGGGGGCAGCCACACTGGCCTTAGCTTCTGCCTTTCCTTTCCTTGACCTTCCCACAAAGGGAGGTCCTCCTGGGAAGACTCGGGACCTGCCACTGCCCACAGCCTGTGCAGAGGCCGGGTAGGGACCAGGCAGGGACCAGGCACACCGGGTCCTAAGGCCCCAGCTGGCCTGCACCATAGGCCCCTCGGGGAGCAAGGGGAGGGGGGCTATAGCATCTGAGGTTTGATAAGAAGCAAGGCTTTCTAAAAAGACTCATGACGTCCTGGGAGGATGTGGATAGAGTCATAGAAGCTGATGCAAGTGCCAGGCGTGAGAGCATGAGACAACACGTCTCTCAGGACTAGAAAGAATAATCTTACTCGTCATTAACTCCCTGGCTTTGAGGCCTTGAAGAAGGAAACACGTTTTCAAAGGTGCATGGTACTCTGCAGAGCAATTGTCTACGCCCCCTCCGCTGCTGTAACGGGTATGACTGTTCTCATTGTGCAGCGTACAGACTGCAGCTCTGAAGTCCATCACCCTAAGGTGCCAGGTGGAACATGGCAGAGCTGGAATCCACACCCCCATCTGACCCCAGAACCCACGCTCTTGCCACTGTGACCCACTGAGAAGGAGGCACATTTATTTGTCGGCCCCTGTCACTACATGGGCCAGCTCAAAGAAGAGGGCCTGGCCACCTCTGAGTCTGTAGCTAGTGACCTGGTGGCCTCCCCTTACAACCCTCACACCTCCATCTTAGGAAGTGCTTCCCAGCGCCTACCAGGTCTGCTGCGCTGAACCGCACACCTGCACCTCTTCACTTCCGAGTGGGGGTGGCAGAGGCTTCCTGGGCCTGACTTGGGGCAGCAGATCCTCATTGCTGCGTGACTTAGGGGGTGTGTTTTCTCATCAGAGCACCAGCCCCTCCCCCAGTGCCAGGGGTCTCACTTGAGTCTCACGTCCCCTTGATGGCGCCCGGCACTCAAGTCCTGGAGGGGGGTGTGGGCCTTGGGGAAGCTGAGAACACCGCTGAGCTGGCGGTGTTCTCTGGCAGATCTCCAGCGCCATGGAGCAGCTGCAGGAGGCCCTGAAGTTGTGCAGGGATGATGCCAACGCCCTCCACCTGCTGGCTCTCCTCTTCTCCGCACAGAAGCACTACCAGCACGCCCTGGACGTCATCAACATGGCCATCACGGAGCACCCCGAAAACTTCAAGTGAGTTCTCTGCGGATGCCACTGGGCTGGGGCATAGCTGCAGGAGCCCATGCACACCCCTCACTGCATGCACATTCCCCACCTGGAGAGTCAAGTCAGGGCGAGGACCTGCAGGGTCAGAGAATCGCTCTGGCTTTCTGCGCCCAGGGGTGCCGGGTGGGGAGCAGCGTGTTCTGGGTGGCACCTGCAGGCTACACGGCGGCCCTGTGGACCACAGAAGGGGCTATACTGGAACGCAGATGCTCAGGCTGCTTCCTCCCTGCCCTGGGTTCTGCGTTTGAGCTTCCTAGGGACACTAACATGTGTAACTTAGTCATAACCCTGGTGCAGCTAGCCAAGGGCAGATTCTAACACTGGCTAAGCTGGTGGGGCCCAACGGAGTCATCCCCTGCCTCCAAACAGGTCAGGAGGCAGTTTGGGGAAGGAGTTTTCTCCCTCCGGGGTGGTCCTGGCCTCTCCCTCCATCTTTAACTCCTCCGCACATAGACCCCCACCACCACCATAAACGGCGTCACTCAAGTGCCTGTCCCTGGAGCAGAGTTCACACTGCACCTGGCCCAGGTGGCAGGGCTACACCCTCCCGCCCCCACCTGTACACAGAGGATCTGCTCTCACCCACTGGGACACTGGGCCAGCGGAAGCAGAAGGGGGCGCTGTCTGCAGGAGGGGATGAGGGAGAGGTCAGCTTGATTTTGCCCTCCTCCCCTCGGGCAGGTGACGCTGGGTGTAACAGGCCGTGTTTCTCTGAACCCTATGATCTCAGGATGGGGGGCCCCTGACCGCCCCATTCCCACCATGTACCACCTTGGGGTCTGTAGGAGGGCCATTTAGAACCAGCCAGTCCTGCTGCAGACAGCAGAAAGGAGCCCAGTCCTGGCCACCCCGAGAGGTGGCTCACGCTGGCGATGAAAACAGGTTCTCAGGGCATTAGGGGAAACGGGCGGGTGCCACAGCCGTGAGAGGCGACAAGGAAAGCTGCAGCTGTCTCAGCCCAGGGAGGTTCCCTCGACATGGGGAGCCCAGGGACCTCCTCTGTCCACCCCTAGCCCGCAAGGGACAAGGCTGACCCTCTGTCCTCCCTAGGAGGACACTGCGAAGGGCTTGGCAGGGGCAGAGTGTCCTAACCATAAACTTCCCAGTGTGCCCCACTGAAGAGGGAGCCCCAGTGAATACAGCCTTGGGCGGGCATTCGTGCCGCAAGTCGGCCTGCTTGCCTGAGTTCAGAAAGAACCCCCTCCCACCCAAAGCACCCTGGGGAGCAGATGGGAGCAGAGCTGTCCAGGTGGAAATGAAGGCAGGGGATTCATGCGCTGCCTGCTTGGCCCCTCCTCGGGCCCCCGTCCCAGCTCCTGCTACCTTCCTGCACACTGTCTCTTCCTGACTTGCGGGCTGAGTGCTTTTTCTTGGCAGAGTCACCTCCCCTGGCCTGATGCGAGGAGACTAACACCACTTTTTGAAAATCTGCTTAAAGGCTATGCTGTTCAAGGCACAGCAGGAGTAGGGTGTGTTCAGGATGTGGGGGGCCCTCTGGTTCTCCCCCAGCTCCTCCCAGTGCACCCGGGAAGGGGGCCTCCTGCCTCCTGTCAGCTTCCTCCACCCTCCCCTGCCCTCCGGCGGGCGAAAAAACCATCTTCTCCCCGGCCTTCCCTCCCTCACTGGCAGAGGGTGCACCCCTCCCCTTTCCTCCCACCTCAGTCAGGGGCTCAGTTCTTGCCCAGGATGCGTCAGTCACCAAACGTGCCTTCATGGGTAGGCGGGGGAGGTGGTCCTTGCTGTGAGGTGGGTGACTCCCTTGGGAGGCCCACGGGTGGACTCCTGGGCCTCTGAGAACAGCCGGCCCTCACCTCTAAGATGTGCACTATGCATGCCTTCAGGGAGATGGCTTTCAGCAAACCCTCAGAGGGGTGCTCAACCCAGAAAAGATGAGACGCCCGCTGCAGACTGTGCTGTTGGTCAATCTGGAGGTAGCTGGGCCCCTCTGTGTCAGCTGTGTCCCCACTTCGGCAGACAGGAGCCTTCTCGAGGGGCAATCTCCACTGTGGGAACAGAGCTGCCCCGTCCAGATACTGCAGAGCCATTGCAGGGGCCTTGGGGGCTGGGGGCGTGGGGCCGGCAGCAGTGAGACCCCTTTGAGGTCTGGGCCCGAGGGAGGAAGACATTTGAGTGCCATCCCCAGAGGCCTCCCCAGTGCCCTTCTATCCCTCTATCACTGCAGAGCAGCCTGCTGTGGAGCTTTTGGGGCCCGGGGTGTCCCAGCCCCTGTGGTGCCTCGCTTTATGAGGTGTGCATATTGGGGTCAACAGGGTGGAGACGCAGTGACAGGTCCTTTATCGCTGAGCCACCATGAGCCCCTCACTTCCACAGCCGTGAGAAGCTCCATCTTGATCTGAACCAGCCTTAAAAGGCTGCAAAACTAACTGGAAAAAATACAGGGGGCTCTGGCCTCCAGAACTGTGAGCTCCAGAGCTCCAGAAACATTTCTGTTTCTTAGGCAGGAAAAAAATCTATCTTAAAAAAAGAGGGGGTGGAAAATCCACCTACCATACGACTCTGGAATGACTACAGAGCATGAGCATGGCTTTTTGCAAATAAGTCAATACTGTTCCCCACAGATGAAACCCCGGAGCACAGAAACCCATGGATTAGCAGGAAATGTCATTGAGTCCATGACCGGTCAGGGATCACTGAAAAATGTCATTGCTCTTCAATGGAAGCTGCGTCCTGCTTCTCCAGCTGCTCCCTGCATTGGGAACAAGCTGCGTGACTCTGGCTGTTGCCACGGCAGTTCATTGAATGACTGGTCCAGTAAATATCACTGCAGCGAAACAAAAATATCAAACCCCCTTCGCCCTGACCTCATCATTCCCAACAAGGTCTATATACTCGGGGGGTACTTAAAAGCCCATGGTCTGGGTCTGTCACCGTGGAGCTCCTCCCCACCGGCTGTCCCAGGCGGCTGAGGTCTTTTAGAGGCTGCAGAGCCTGCCTTCGTGAAGAGGCAGGCAGGCCTACGCCGGGGTGGAGGGAGCCTGGCACACGGTGCAGCTGGCTCCAACGGGCCCCTTTCCACGTGAGCTTATCCCCTTGTGAGTCATGCCTATCCCTTACCCGTGTCCCCTCCAGCAGCCTGCTTCTTCTTTCCATGCCTTCGCTTTCTCCTGTGCCAAAAGACTGACATCTGTCCTGCCTCCCTCTGCTTCCAAAGTCTATCCTGAGACTTGGCAAGAGAAGGTCTTGCAGTCCGTTTACAACCGTGTTGAGGGGCAGCAGTGTGGAGGGGTCCGGGAGTCGGCCCGCAGACAGTGTAGGGCTACCACATGGGACCCAAGGTGGGCAGTGCGCATGGGCCAGGTGGTGCAGGGGCTGCCCTGTGTGTGAGGGAGGGTGGGGAAGTGGAGGCAGGGACACCCTGTGAGAGGCTTTTAAGCATTGTAGCGGCCCAAGTGGCCACTCTTCCTATAGACAGTCTCAAGACTCCGAGAGAAAAACCAGCTTTCGTGGAGTTGAACTTTTGAAAATCCCCCTGAATTCAGGGATTAGAAAGCAAAGCAAAGAAGATCTTGGTTTCCGTGCTGCGGGATGACCTTTAGTTAATGGAGCTGAGGTTTAAAAAGGCAGAAACGTGATGCGGCAGAGACTAATGGCCACAGGGACAGTGTGACCCTGGCACGGGGGAACCAGACACCCTGAGTGGCTTCCTGAAATCCTAAGGGCTTCTGACTAAGCCCTGGACACATGTGCTGGCCAGGCTGGTCCCGGTTAGCCTGCAGGGGGCCTCACGGGGGCAGCAGCCACCCTGTTTGGACCTGGTTCCAAGCCAGGCCCGGCCGAGGAATGTGAGGGCCCGTGCAAGCGTGGAGATGCCTTTGCTGGTCTTTTCTCCTGGTCCTGGGTATGGGAGGCAGCTGGGAGGCCCAGAGGGGAGGGGCAGGAATATGGGGTCAAAGGGAACCGGCTGCTGATAAGCTGGTTCCTGAAGCCCAGGGCTCCTTGGGGCTCTGGTTTTAGGTAACAGATTCCTTGCGCTTTAGTCAGGCCACTTGTAGTGAAGGTCGCCATGGTAACCAAACAACATTTGTGGGCTAATGATGGGAGCTTTCCAATAACCAGCCTGTCAGTCACTGCCCCCACCCCAGGCCTGGCAGCCTGCCAGGCGGGTTTTGAAAGCCCAGGCCATAGGGCAGAGGAGCCAGCTGGCTTTCTCTGCCCAACTCCTCAAGGCCAAGGCTACCTCCTCCGCCCTGTGGGTTGGGGTAGGCCCTTGCAGGAGTTTCTGCCCAGCCAAGCCCAGGTCCAGGGGGACTTGGAAGGTCCTGGGGGAAGGTGTGTCAAAGCCCCAGGGGGCGCTCCACAGCACACGAACAATGTGGCCCTCTGGACAAGCTGGAGCTCGCTGAGGGCGTAAACAAATGGAACCGTCAAAGCCATCTCCCCAGGGAAACCTAGGCTGTTTTGGAAAATGTTTGAGCTGATAACTAGGCGTTGGCAGGGGCCAGACCTCAGCCTTATCTGGTTAAGGCTAACGTGGGCCCCGAGGGCACCTCTCTGACTACCTGGCCTGCCTCACCTTTTTCTCAGGTGGCATGTGAGGGAGCAGATCAGGGTCCTTGGGCTCCTGTTAACATTTCTGACTTAAGCACAGTGTTTATTGGATGCGTCTTATTAGGGACTTGCAGTAGATCAAAAGGATGCTTAAAATACCAACCTTCCAGTGAGGGGGTTGGCATCAAAGGTATTAGCACAAACCTAGTTTATCACTCCTCTGCATTCATTAAACATGTCTGGCTGCTGCGGCCCCCCTGAGGACAAGAGCCGTGGCTTAAACTTGCAGGCCATGTGGTGGAGGGAAGTGTTAAGCCCAGCATAATCACTGGCACTGCGCTCTCTTCCCCAAAGGTCAGTTCCTCGTTGCTAAGCTGGTTTGACATTCAGCATTTCCCTTCGCTGGTTGTTGCCTGCGGCCTCCTGTGATCTCGCTCTGTGTGACACTGCAGTCACAT